GTACAACACAAAGTCCTAGTACAATACAAGTAAACACCTATCATTGAGTCCTAGTACAATACATGTAAACACCTATCCCTGAGTCCTAGTACAATACATGTAAACACCTATCCTTGAGTCCTAGTACAACACAAGTAAACACCCATCTTTGAGTGCTAGTACAGTACAAGTAAACACCCATCCTTGAGTCCTAGTACAACACAAGTAAACACCTATCCTTGAGTCCTAGTACAATACAAGTAAACACCCATTCTTGAGTCCTAGTACAATACATGTAAACACCTATCCTTGAGTCATAGTACAATACAAGTAAACACCTATCATTGAGTCCTAGTACAATACATGTAAACAACCATCCTTGAGTCCTAGTACAACACAAGTTAACACCTATCCTTGAGTCCTAGTACAATACAAGTAAACACATTTCCTTGAGTCCTAGTACAACACAAGTAAACACCCATCTTTGAGTCCTAGTACAACACAAGTAAACACCTATCCTTGAGTCCTAGTACAATACAAGTAAACACCTATTCTTGAGTCCTAGTACAACAAAAGTAAACACCCATCTTTGAGTCCTAGTACGGCACAAGTAAACACCTATCCTTGAGTCCTAGTACAATACAAGTAAACACCTATTCTTGAGTCCTAATACAATACAAGTAAACACCCATCCTTGAGTCCTAGTACAACACAAGTGGATACATGATGGAGTGAGAGGTTTCACTGTTTCCTGTTTTTTTTATAGGAGCTCCACTCTACATGTTGATGTGTTTAATGACTACTTATCTACACTGCTTATGCCTCAAACTTTCTCCATAGCTTTCACCTGTCGGGTTCTAAAGATATTGTGTTTGATAAATCATCATGCCCCTAACACAACTCAACCCCCTCCCCACCACCACACACACACACACACACACACTATTGCTTTGATTTGTTATACCTACCACTATATAATTCAGTAGATCTGTGTGCATTAGGTAGGTTCACTTAAACAACAAAAACATCATAACTTGATTCACTGACAGTCTCCTACTACTATCTATGTTAGAAATTTTCTGCAAAAAGAATTTGGACATTTTTCAAAATCTTTTTTTTATGGTATTTCAAAGAACTCAAAAAAAAAATGACTCAGCCTTTTTCTTGAAGCGGTTTGATCAGTTTGCTTGGACATATGTTTCCATGCTTGCTATGTATACAGTGTAAAGGTTTTTAGGAAAACTACTAAGCTCTGATATTTCAAATTAACTAAACCCAATATAATATATTCTCTGCATTTTTGTGGCTATGCTTATAAAACTAGGATTCAGAACAGGTAGCCAAGTACAGGATTCACACAAAATAAATAATGCTTGAAATTTGGGTTATATTATCCAGTTTCAAATTCTCCATTCATAACAAACCCTTTCTTCATGTTTATGTATGGGAGCTGAGGTGCAATGGGACTATTGCAAACGTCTTTAAAAATTGTTGGAATAAGGGCAAATGATTAAATCAATACAATCTTTGGTACTGATGAAGCATAGAAAAAAAAGCTTCACAACTAATGACAGGTAGGGGACCAAGTGTTGCGTGACTTACGTCAATATCTAACTTCAGGTGAAAACAGTCCTGAAACTGTTCTCAATCAATAATCTTAAGCCTTGTAGTCTTATGCAGTAAAATATCTCAATTACCCTGTGAATATATTTATGTGATGTACTGGAGACTTGATTTACAGTGAGAATAAAATATTATGAGTGATATATGTCAAAGATCGATTGTCATATGACGAGGAGAGAAGTAACTAGGATTCAAATACTCTGGCCTGAAATTGTTTTCAAATAAGTTCTAGCTTATATCTGTTGTGACATGCAGAAACCCATAAAAATTGAAAATTAACTAACTCAACTTAAATAAACATAACAATAAACCGTCACAAGTTTGGAGACATTTTTCTCCCACAACGTTCAGATATTATTTCTAGAAAACCATTTGTTCCTCTTAGGAATACATTATTTCTGTTTCCGGTCAGAGAAAAAATTGCCATGATATATAGAGGCATGGAAGCTAAGTCTAGTGGTAGGACGCCGGGCTTGTGACATAAGGGTTGCGGGTTCAAGTCACGGCACGGCACTGTGTTGTATCTTTGAGGAAGATACTTGACTATGTTTGCTCCAGTTTACTCAGCTGTTGCAAAGGCCGTATAAGGTATATAAGAACCTCAAATTATTAGTTTTTATTATTATCACAATGGAATATGACGTTGCAAAGTGTTGTTCGGTGATGTCACAATTTAAAGATTGACCAATAAAATCACGTCCAGGGTGTTACCAACTAGTGAGTAACCATAAAATGTTAACCAACTCCTAGCAGGTTAACCCAATGAGTTTGAGAGAGGAAACTTATGGTATCTGCAGTAGACACTTTTGGTGTTAACAGGGACGTGAGGAAACTTATAGTAACTGCAGTAGACACTTTTGGTGTTTACAGGGATGTAAGGAAACTTATAGTATCTGCAGTAGACACTTTTGGTGTTTACAGGGACGTAAGGAAACTTATAGTATCTGCAGTAGACACTTTTGGTGTTTACAGGAACGTGAGGAAACTTGTAGTAACTGCAGTAGACACTTTTGGTGTTTACAGGGACGTGTGGAAACCTATAGTAACTGCAGTCGACACTTTTGGTGTTTACAGGGACGTGAGGAAACCTATAGTATCTGCAGTAGACACTTTTGGTGTTAACAGGAACGTGAGGAAACTTGTAGTAACTGCAGTAGACACTTTTGGTGTTTACAGGAACATGTAGAAACCTGTAGTATCTGCAGTAGACACTTTTGGTGTTTACAGAAACGTGAGGCAACTTGTATTAACTGCAGTAAACACTTTTGGTGTTTACAGTAATTTGAGGAAACTTGTAGAAACTGCAGTAGACACTTTTGGTGTTTACAGGAACGTGTAGAAACCTTTAGTATCTGCAGTAGACAATTTTGGTGTTTACAGGGACGTGAGGAAACTTATAGTATCTGCAGTAGGCACTTTTGGTGTTTACAGGAATGTGAGGAAACTTGTAGAAACTGCAGTAGTCACTTTTGGTGTTTACAGGAACGTGTGGAAACCTATAGTATCTGCAGTAGACACTTTTGGTGTTTACAGGAATGTAAGGAAACTTGCAGAAACTGCAGTAGACACTTTTGGTGTTTACAGGAATGTGAGGAAACTTGTAGAAACTGCGGTAGACACTTTTGGTGTTTACAGGAACGTGTGGAAACCTGTAGTATCTGCAGTAGACACTTTTGGTGTTTACAGGGACGTGAGGAAACTTATAGTATCGGCAGTAGACACTTTTGGTGTTTACAGGAACGTGTGGAAACCTATAGTATCTGCAGGAGACACTTTTGGTGTTTACAGGAATGTAAGCAAACTTGTAGAAACTGCAGTAGACACTTTTGGTGTTTACAGGAATGTGTGGAAACCTATAGTAACTGCAGTCGACACTTTTGGTGTTTACAGGAACGTGAGGAAACTTGTAGTAACTGCAGTAGACACTTTTGGTGTTTACAGGAACATGTAGAAACCTGTAGTATCTGCAGTAGACACTTTTGGTGTTTACAGGAACGTGTAGAAACCTGTAGTAACTGCAGTAGACACTTTTGGTGTTTACAGGAACGTGTAGAAACCTGTAGTAACTGCAGTAGACACTTTTGGTGTTTACAGGAACGTGTAGAAACCTGTAGTATCTGCAGTAGACACTTTTGGTGTTTACAGGAACGTGAGGCAACTTGTATTAACTGCAGTAAACACTTTTGGTGTTTACAGGAATTTGAGGAAACTTGTAGAAACTGCAGTAGACGCTTTTGGTGTTTACAGGAACGTGTAGAAACCTATAGTATCTGCAGTAGACACTTTTGGTGTTTACAGGGACATGAGGAAACTTATAGTATCTGCAGTAGACACTTTTGGTGTTTACAGGAACGTGTGGAAACCTATAGTAACTGCAGTAGACACTTATGGTGTTTACAGGGACATGAGTAAACTTATAGTATCTGCAGGAGACACTTTTGGGGTTTACAGGAATGTAAGGAAAAGTGTAGAAACTGCAGTAGACACTTTTGGTGTTTACAGGAACGTGTGGACACCTATAGTATCTGCAGTAGACACTTTTGGTGTTTACAGGGACGTGAGGAAACTTATAGTATCTGCAGTAGACACTTTTGGTGTTTACAGGAATGTGAGGAAACTTGTAGAAACTGCAGTAGACACTTTTGGTGTTTACAGTAACGTGTGGAAACCTATAGTATCTGCAGTAGACACTTTTGGTGTTTTTAAGAATGTGAGGAAACTTGTAGAAACTGCAGTAGACACTTTTGGTGTTTACAGGAACGTGTGGAAACCTATAGTAACTGCAGCCAACACTTTTGGTGTTTACAGGAACGTGAGGAAACTTGTAGTAACTGCAGTAGACACTTTTCGTGTTTACAGGGACGTGAGGAAACCTATAGTAACTGCAGTAGACACTTTTTGTGTTTACAGGGCAGTAGACACTTTTGGTGTTTACAGGGACGTGAAAAGTAAGACCTTACATAAAGCTAATGGCACAAATACTAGTAAGTGCAGATGCACTTGTATTTTTCGTTGTAAGCAAAGAAATGAAATGCCAGGTAACATTTTGGAGCTTAAAATCGTATCATACGACTACAATAAAGACCTTACTGTATGTTTCAAACACTCAAAGTAAATCTACCACCATGGCAATCCTAATATCAGAAACATAATGGAGCCATAATGTAATAATGATTTCTCTGCTGCTTAATTACTTTTTCATTACCTGTGCAAGTGTATCGGTTATGCTAAACAAGTATGGTTGGAGAATGTAAGGCCAATGACTACGGTACAGTACACAATGGATTAGGCTGTAGACAGACTACAAACAGCTAACCCAATATACACTGACAACACGTGCAGTTTCCACTAAAATTGTTGACTTGACAGCCTTTTACACATGATAAACCTTTACTTACCCATTCATTAGCTAAAGAGCTGAATGAATAAAGGGCTACTTGCGATGCTGTGTCAAGAATTTCTGTAATATACGGATCTCTCTGCTGCAGAGCAGCTAAATTCATCCGGCCTTCCGCCATATTCCAGAAATCAAATAGCTCCGCACTAAAAGTGTATGCGGAGTAAAGAATGAAACTTGATAATATTATAAAATTCACAAACGTGTACATAACTATGATTGATTTTATTTAGTTCGAAATCAATACTTGAAATTGATTAACAGTGTCTTGTTTTGATATAGACCAATATTTTATGAAGCGAGCTAAAAATAGAACAGGAGCACTGAAAACCGGTCAAGCGTTACGGTTTCTTTCACGCTAAGCCGACGTCTATGTAATCGGGTCTTCTGTGCATCGTTCTACACAGACGACGAGGATGAGAGCGGAGTGACCACTCCAGGAAATTATCGTTATTGTTGGATTTTAAAACCATTCAATAAAATGGTGAAAATCTGGAATTTACGAGCAAGATGCCCGGATGCAGCATCATGAGCAGCAAGCAAAAATGGACGAAATTTGTGTATTGTAGCGAGAAATTAATCGGACTTTCCCCTCCAAATTAAGCCAACAATGGCCTCTCAAGGTCCAGGTAAGCTATTTTCTTAGCCAGAAATTATAACCCTCTGTTGGAGTGATGTGAGCTTTTTCGTTTTAAGGATATAGCAATCGTCTGCTGCTGCTGATCGAGCAACAGTCCAGTGCAACAATAAGGAGAAAAATTAAATATGGCTTCGTCTATCGTTGTGAACCAAAATGTTGCTGAGGCAGAATTTGTGATGATGCTCTTCTCCGAATCTACTCATATTTCATATTTTTCTATGCATACATTATAAATAAGATCGTAACGTTTTAATCCCGTCATGTATTCAATGGATTTAATTCTATTTTTTGTAAAGGCCGTTTACACAGCTGATTACAGCGGCCCGATTACAGTATGGTTATAATACTGTCGGATGAGAGACTGCTCTTGTTACGATCCGTGGCAGGAATTATGTTTTGGTTTATTAATATATATCTAATTCATCCTCCTAACCATTATACATATTCATACAGTATTCAGAGCATTCATCAAATTTAATTAAAATAGTAAAACAATGTGAACTAGAACACTGTGTATTACATTGTGTATTGGAACTAACTGTGTAAGCTTGAATAATGAATAGATGTAAACTGTACACGCAAGTGTTTACTATAAGAAATTTAGTATTTAGTATCACTCTCAGTCTGATTTAGCTTATTACAAATTTATAGTTACATTGAATATAATTTATAGGACCAAAGTTCAAAAACATTAGCATAATGATAATGCTGTACATATATCCGCTATATTTGTAATGTAAAGTAGATGTATTGGTACATAATTGCGTGAAATATTTGTTAAAAGTCTATAAAAGATTCTTTCAAATTTGAAAGTTTTCCATTACAAAATAAAAGGTCTAATATAGTTTCTTTGATAGATACTTATGTAAGTAACATATATGCATGCACTATCTTTTTAACTCTTGAGTATCATTTTGGTAAAATGGCCAAATAAAAAAATATTATGTTTCAGGTAACATGAGTACGATGTGTTATTGTAGCCCGTTGCTTTCTTCGGGTTTGTTTTGTTAAATTGTTTATGTATGAACTGAAAAAAAGTAGGATAGGTTGTACAGGATTTATTTTTTTCACCATTTTTTAAAAGATTTTTTTGTTCCAAAAATAGCCTAACATATTTTTAGGTCTTTGAAATAATAATATGGGATTTAAATTTGGTTTTGATTCCTGCTTTTGAAGTAGAGAGGGTATACATACAGTTGCCTTGGTTTTTTTTGTTCATTAGTTTGTTTTCACCGGGTGGACAAGTAATCCCGACACTTAAATGGAGTGTGTTGGAGTAAGATAAAATTGTTATAGTCAAGGTAAATATGGTAGGGTCACAGTCGGGGTACCTGAAACATGCATGTATCTGTTTGGTCTTACGTCAGGGGCCTGATTAAGCATTTGGGGAAATCCAACCAGACATACAAATCCAATGTTTATTAAAGCTTAGTTACTTTTAACTCCAGAATCTTTAGCATTGATAGTGGACTGGAGCTGTATAAGATGAAGATTTTGATGAGCATGCATGATGATATGATGTTTGATTTGAGAAATTTGAACAAGAATGAGAAAACTGATACCAAACACAATTTTTCCTATGGGTCTGAATTAACATTGGCATTTGTACAAATTTAAATGTACAGTGTAATCAGCATACAAACTTTCAAAGACAATATCCAGTATTTTGTTATTATTTCTGTGAACTTGTGAATCTGAAAGAACTATGCTTGTACTTCTACAGTTCTTAAAATTTAAGAAGTTACAACTCTAATATTTTGAGTTGAAGAGTTTTTGAGAAAATAAATAAATTCACCAGCGCATATATACCTACTCAAAGCTTTTTAATATGACTGATGTATATTAGGAGAAACAAGCAATACTTTAATGCTGGCCTAGTTCGGTAGTTGTGTTTGAAATCATGACAGGTCAATTTAGCCACTAGGTAGATGTTGACTTGGCAGATAGAGAGATCTACCTGTGTGATTATTACCTGTGATCTTCTGGTATAAAGGTCAAATACCAACAGTAGTAATGCAATTACTGGCTACTCTGTCCTGTATACAGTCTAGTAGCTATATAGGATGGTGTTATTTGTGTGCCAGTATCTCTGTAGTTGTGGTTTTGAATTGTGTATATTGGGTAGAGGTTTTGAATTGTGTGTGGTACATATGGGTAAATTCATTATATATCAGTTTTTGTCTTGTTGGCCATCACTATGATGGTTGATGTCAAAGCCTAATGTGGATCTATATTAGACTAGTACATAATGTTATGGGTCAAAACACTATAACACACTACTGTGGATCTACATACTAGAATCAGTGTTTTTTCTTCCATAAGTTTACAGCAGCTCGTTGCTTCACGAATAGGGAAAATACAGCATTATTTTAATTGTAATTGGGAAGATATTCGTCAGTCAACATTTTTTTTTGAAAGGGGAAGCATGCGCAGCCTGTATTTGGCTGTAAAACTAGGCCAAAATAATCACTGATAATGTTAAAGTAGTTAAAAAAAAGTAGTTCCTCAGTTACAGAGTATAAAACAACAGTTTAGGAAACTGCTTTTATTAGAAAATATATATAACCTGAGGATTAATTTGTTGAGTAATTTTAGAACTGTGTATACATAAGTACAGTGTATGTGGGATGTTTTACCTGTACAGAATTAGGTACAAAGCGTGTTCTGTAGAAGCTATGCAGACAATTCGAGCTGTACAATGGGAACAAGAGATGGGTAGTTACAAATATTTGTGGTACAGCCTTGGTTCACACAGTGTCTGACATAAGGTAACGGGTAATGCATCTTCTTGTTATCAGTCCTTGCTCACCAGTGCCAGGGGAAAGGGATCCCAATGCAAGTACCTCATGTAATTGAAGACAGATTGTGGTTCATGTTCCCCGTTGTACTACTGTGCTGGGACCCTGTGTCATTAGTATGACACTACAAGCTACCTATACAGGAGCTGGTTCTGTATTTGTTGTTTGCCTACTTTATCATCAATATACAGGCAGCTTCCCCTAGCAAAAAAAAGGGCCTTATTTTCTGAAATGAAGAAATACAAGGAACAATAACATCATCTTCCTAATTTCAATTAAAATAATGCTATATTTTCCTTGTTCGTGATGCAACAGGCTGCTGTAAAATTTAGGTAAAAAAAATCCCCAAAACTGTATACAAATTATTGTAACCCGAATCAATGTTCTTCAAAATATCAAAAGAAACCTTCACCTAAAATAGTAATCTGTTACTTTTGTTTGTTACATGGAAAATATATATGTTCTAAAGTAGTACATGTACGTGCAGTTCACTGTTTAATTAATTCTGCTTTTGAGTTTATGATTTATGTTAATTGATGTTATATGTTAAGAAGTAGAGAAAGGAAATGTTTGGTGCTTCAGGCTCTTTCTAATTTGTCATTGTGGAGCTGTTGGATGGTGAAATAATGCCTATTTATAAAATATTCACTGATATAGCTGTCAGTTTTCTCATTAAATGATGGCCTGATTGCATACCTGATTAATTTTGTATTGAAGTAAAACATTGCAGGAGATTCCATTGCCATTGGCCTTGTGAGATAGGTTTTATATAAATATGACTTGTTGCATTGCATGCTTCAGGTTCCAGCTTTTATAAAGGATAGCACAACCACTAGTAATCAGGAACAAGTGTATATATGTACAAGTAATTGATTTACATTGTACATGTCTGGAATATATATATGAATATCATTGATTGTTGGTTGCACATACCAAGTTCATTTGGTTATATGTCATTTGCTTATTACATTACTGATGGATTTTTCTTGGTCTGTGTCAAGATTATTTGAAAGTTAAATTATTATCACTGTACATGTACTGTGTCTGACACTTTTGTTATTTCTTGTCAATGTTTCAACCTTTGTTTTCCCAACAGATATATTAAAGTTATAATGAAGAAAATGTTATCAGTGACTAAATTCATGTGATTGTCTGCTGGACTTCTAAAATCTGGCAAAGTCCTATAAAATCCCATCTAATTTTCATAGTAACTATTGAAAACATTCATTAGTCCTAACATAGAATGTTCTACAATGTATCGACACTCTGCCATATACCCCTGAAGTTTCCTAATGAACTATTCCAACCTTTGAATTGGAAGGGTTCAAATGTGTCTTTAGAGGTGAATGAGTTAAAACAAGCATTGCTACAATCAGGATGTATATATATATGCATGTATAATTTATATACATCTGCTCATTATAATTTGTGTAAAGAATACTATAATGGCAAAAGTAGAAAGATTTACACTGAGCTGACTTACTGTTCATTTTCTGTCACCTGGAAAGTTTGATGACTTTTTGACAGTTTGATATCAATAACGGTAAAATAAATGATAATTTCTTGAAAATGACAAATTACCTGTTTATATTTATAACCACTACATATACATTTATACTGAAATTTATGCTTTTTTATCAATATGACAATTCCATTCAAATCTTGTATTTCAGTTATCTATATTTAGGTGTAGATCAATGTTCATTATATTTTTCGATCTGTTAGATAAATAACAACTGTATCTTCACTTTAGTGAGGATTAAGTAAATGTCAATGTCCCCAGTAGTGATGGTATAGAGTTGGTAGTGATTTTGCGATACATGTAGAGTGACTGATTAAAGTGATGTCTATCAAATATCACACACATTCATCATGCAATTGGGATTGCTCATGTTTAAGTTGTTTATGTTATTCACGCATCAATATTACGTACAGTTGTGTGATTGCACAATGCACCAAGATCAGTGTGTGCAGACTGTCTGCACATGCTGTCCACAACAGGATGATTTAACAATCAATCGCCCCGTTGTATGATAAAACATGCACAAATGTGCAATATGGTATTAAGATCGGTTGATGAATGTTATGGAATGAAAAAAATGCAGAAGGCTCGAGTGAAATAAGGAACATTGTATGCATACATATTTTCTATCTGATCGGTAGATTTTTAAATTTTTCAATGCATCCTACA